TGATACAGGTCGAAAATGAATGGCCTGTACGTCTGAGTCTATAACATTAATAGTATTCTTATCGTTATCCGTCATGTCGTGTATATTATATATTAAAAATTAATATGAAAATATACGACAGACGTGGATAGATAAATAATAGACTCACCAAATTGACTTCTTTGGAAGATTTGACCCGAGGTTGAGGCGTGTTCCAAACTTTGGGATCACCAATGTAGCGTGGCGTCGAGTTGAGATTAACTGTGAACACCGCTACCAAGAAACACGTGCCAGACAAATCAGAAGGCGAGGTTGAACGTAACCAGATTTATTTCGTTGGCGATCTCGTGGTATTGAACGAATACCGAGATCGTGCCAAGAAGTGGTACAAGTGGAAGCAGAAGACAGGAGTACGTGCGAACAGTACCAAAAACCGCGGAACAATGATGGAAGGTAATGGAAGCACAAAATGGCTATAATTAGCACAGTTAAACAAAAGCACATTAAAACAAACACTGGTACAGTTGGTTATAATAATAATTGTTTTTATTAAACCAGTCGTGTTCTCGTGATAAATGTGAGTCACTACAACTAAGCTCTGAAAGGGGTAACCACTATAATGAGTACAGAATTACTTAATATTTACTGTTTTACTAGTGGTTGTTTAACTGAACTCTCAATTAATGATACACTAAATCACTTTTTTTAGATAAATAAAAGTATGACTAGTTGCATTGACTTTGGTTTAACATATAGTCTAATAAAACATTAAGTTTTACTGTATGTACATAATGATTGAAATAAACCAAGGGACTGTATTTAAATCCAACTTTTGGAACAATAATTAAGAGCTACGATGTGATAATTGTAACCAAAGAATTAATATTCTATAGCAAACATTAATCTTATTTGTTAAGTTGATTTTGTTTTCGCTGAACAACGATTTCGTTTCGGAAATTAGCATTACTTAGCTAAGAATTTCATGTACATTGCTGATCTGAATAAACGTGGACTTTTCTGAACACAACAATTTCATTGAATTTTTTCTAGATAAATTTGTTCGATCTATACATTTAAAAAAATCAAGATACATTAAACTCAGGAAATTAAATGGTACTGATTACTCATAGGAACCATTCAAAACGTATATAGATAGATGCATTATAAGTGGTTTTAATTTTAAGAAGCTAACTGCATAGTGTTCCATAAGCTTTGACATTATCAGAAAATACTTTAGTTTGATGATACTGTATGCTCAAACTTGTTATTTCTGATCAATTAAAGTATGTTGAAAACATACTGGGCACTAGATCCGAAATTTATCAATCTTGAAAACCTTTGTTCTCTTGTAATCAAACATGATCAGATATTGTTCGAGGGGTCAAATTATTGGAGTTGGGATATAATCTGAATCAACCACATGTTGACCATGAGATTTCGATCTTGAACAAACATTTTAAATTATTTTAATACAATCAGTCAACAGCCAATATATTGTAAACTGAATTATGTAAAATATTGTTTTTCGGTGCAAATACATCTGCATATGTGAACTGCTCAGAGTCGATTAAGTTAAAACACAATTATACTCGAAGTCATATACGTGTATAGTAACGTAGAGTTTGGATTCGGGAATTCTGAAAACTTCACCAAATATACCTGTCAGTTAATTAAGTTGAGCAGAAGTACTTTAATAAACAAGGTCATTTTGTGCTGGAGATTTGCTTTTAAGTAAATAACGCTTAAATAAATAAATCAGTATAGACTCCTTGACTCTAATGAATGAGATAAATCAACCAAGTCTGCGGTACGATCAACCAGTTCATTTAGAATGGTTATATTTACTCATTGTGAAATTAAAAAAGAAATTAATTTTGAAGCTGCTCTGTCATTCTGGACAGCATTTCCAACACCTGCTTTATGTAGAAGTGAGGCTTCCAGTTATTGCAGAGTTACTATATCATTTTGTTCATTATCTCCATAGATTTATTTATCTATATTTCTCGCTGTATTGACAATGGCTATCTTTGATGATTGACCTCTAGCATTGTTGTTGACTGACATCTTCGTATAGGATCATAGATTGATTGTAGGTCATTAACTATTAATTATTAATTGATCTGAACGTTATGATTCTAAAAGTTTTCCGATATACTTGGAGCCTCCCAGATCCAGAATTTATGTTCATAGTTGTCAAAATGAATTGAATCAATAACAGCATATCGTGTAGTCTCATTATCAATCTGTGGTAACTCATGAGTAGGTGAAAGGGATGTACATATTGTACAAAGTAATATTCTTGATTGGTGAGATTTATTTTATCGATGATTTTGTATTTGTCTTCTTTTTCTGATGTTGGTTTGTAGGCAAAGTTGATTCGAAAGAACTTCATAATCCTTGAAGTGGTCTTTGAGGTATTTGTAACATATGGTGGGACGATCTGCTTCTTGATTTCCGGGATTGCTTTTTTGATGATATGAAAACCATTTCACTGAAAGTTCTCTGTCAACTGTAGGTACACTTCATATAATTCATTTATTAGAATATTTACAATTTAAAAACAATCACTTACCACTATATTTTTAAATGGCTTAGTCGGGAACGTGAAACTGAAATCAATTTTACCGTTCACTTATTTTATTTAAAAAAGGTATACACTATTAAATAATAATTCTACTCAATACATTGTGTTGTGTTGAACAAATAGTTCTAAATATGGAGGCTTTTAATTTTATCACTGTCAACTTCATTTGATAAAAACATCAAAGAGGTTAGAATTCTTTGTTTAGGCCACTTATTACAGATAATCTGAAGGTAAGAATAAAAGTTGGCGCAATTAATCTATAATTCTGGGAATATGACTAGGCCTGATCGTAATTTAAAAATGTACATTGTACATAAATAAAATTATTTAAAAGTCAACACCTTAAGCAGTTATCGTCAGTCAACAAGTGAAACAATTGTCTGGAAGCTATCTCAAATCCTGAATAAATGCTCGTTTTCCATACATAGGAAACTGGGACATGTATTACTATGATCATCTGACTACTTACCTGTTATTAGTAGTATAAAAAAGATAACAACCAATAATTCATTTGCCCACTAGACATCATTAAATCACAAATAAAAATGGTAAAAAAAATGATAATTTATTTATCCTTCACGCATCTTTATCGACTTCCTGGCCATTTAACCATTAATAAATTCATTGAATAGTTTAAAACTGAGAAAAGAAATTCTTATTATTGTTATTATAATTATAATAGTGATTATCACTGATTTATTTTATTGATTACAAATTGTATAGATAGTTTCCACAGATTTAGAATAAATTGAAAGTACGACCTGTAGTTTATTCATAAATCACACATGATATTTAAACATTATGAATATTGTCACTATTGTTATTCACGTTACATTATTTGTAATAATAACAATATTTATAGATAACAACATAATGAGAGTAATAAATGTAAACATTGTCAAATAAAATTTAATCTCTATCGTCTAAATTACTAAGATATAAATAAATACGTTTTTGTTGTTGTTGTCAACTTGAAATTACAGCTGGATTGATTATAGCAAGCAGAAAAAAAAATCGAAAGAGAAGGAAGTGACTGGGTGTAAATGTATGTTAACACGTCTGTTCTTTTGTATTTGGAAATGTTTTTTTTTATATTCAAACTATCAAGAGATGAGTAGAAGTGCTTATAGTAACAGTACATATATGGCTTTATTTATCTATACTTAGTTATTCTCATGGTATTTCTACGCAGGTTTTGCAAATAATCGTAAGTTTGTATACATGTAGGACATATACATTTCTATCCAGGTACATTGAAATCTTTAATATATTTGTGCGTATAAATGGTATATTTGTGCGATTTATAAAACCAATCTGATCTACATCATTATTTAGATTATCGATGCAATACCAAAAGTGAGAATATATAGTTCAATATATTTATGTGAATGTATGAAAGTTGTACCATGAGCGTAGCACTGAAGAAGTATTGCTGGTCCAGCCAACAAATAAGAATAAACGATTGCTTAATGAATTTGTGAATCATATATCGTAAATCATTGAAATAAATCACCGAAGCAAAATAAAATGTTGATTACTGAGTTGTCTCAGTCTACATCAAGCATACATAAATTTTATGCACATATGTATATCATTGTGTTTCTTAAAGATGAATAAAAGCCATATTTTAACAAGCATAACGTGGAAATCACGATGGTGATGGTGTTGACAATCAGTTACGGATTTTCTTTTAAACAGAAATTCTAGGTGTTAATTTTCCATTTGGGTAGTTGTATTTCATATTCACATTAACACGATACTTACTTTTGAAGAATTAAAGCCAAATCAAGTAACAATAGAAACAAACAATGATTAGGAAACATGTCATAGAAGTGAACTGGAAATTTAACAAAGACTAAAAAGACATATAACCATTGACAGAGAAGGGATGTACGTATTCTCTACATTTTATAAACAATAGAATTTTATTGGTGAGTAAAAAATGAAGATGATTTAATGTAATAGGTAGTAAGAGAACAGGATTTAGTATGAGAAGATGATAATAGTATCATGACGGCGAAGTAATAAAAATAATTTTTGACAATATTTCACGATTATAGTATTAAGATTATTTACGAAATCAATAAATGCACTTGTCCTTTATCGATTTTAGTTTGGACATACCAGTTTAGTTTAGTTAATCTAACTCCTTGTTCAGCATTATTACTTTTATATATATTTAGTTACTTAAAAAGGAAAAGTTAGGAAGGAATATTTGCGGGATCAACAAAATTTAACTGAATACATTTTGTGTACATCTTCTGAGGGGAAGAGATATTACATTCCAATAAAATGTAGATTAAGTTTTTCAATATTTGAGGTTCTTTATTGATTGGAGGGATTTGGGTTATATGAAAATAGTCAAGGGGTGGCATGTTTCGTCTTAACTGAGATTTAATTCAAACATGTTTTTGAATATTACTGGAATGGGGAAAGGTTAACTAAAAGGATGTGAACGTCTAGAGAATCTTTGAGTTCGCCCGTAATTCTGACGTTCCTGGCTAGAGCTTCTGTTGAGCTCACTTCTATCAACTGATGAGCTAGCATGTGATGGAGGACAGGGTTGTCTTGAACCAACTGATAAGCTTGAGCGTGTTCCACTATCTGTTCCAGTAGATCCGGTTGTTGGTATATCTTGAAAACGTGGATGTACACGCATGTTTGATTCATCACTTGGAAGCATCACCTGTTGGTCTCGAAAATCAAAGCCTACTGTATACTCTCTGGCGCTACCCAAAGTTATATCTGTTTGAGATAACGTTTTTCTTTGAGCTGAATGTGTTCGTATAGTTTTTGCATTACCGAAACTGACAGTTTGTCGAGGATCTCTACTAGTTCTCCGATGTCCTTCTTGACCAACTACTTGTCTTGATGAACCATTAGATCCATTTCCGTATTTCACAGTTCCACTTCTACCTATTCCTGCATAATCTGATTTATCTGCAAAGAGGAGCGTAACAACAAATAATCAGTATTACAAATTTATCAGTAATTTGTTAAACACTATCACTTAATATTAAAGGAAAAATCATGCTATCAACACAGAATACATTAATACAATACAAATTTTCCTATGGTTAGTGGTCTTATACTGTTAGGTTAATCAAAAATTAAATCCATTAGGGATTAAATCGCAATTTAGATATTTCACGCGTTACGTCTGTAAATACGGTGATAAACGATACAGGGTTACATCTATTTTAGCTAGACAGAAACCATAGCATTAAAAGCGAATAAAAGACTGGATTGTGGTACAGAGATGTAAACTTTAATGCTACATAGTATGATAAATCACTTTGGCTGCATAAGAACATGTAGAAACAGAAGATACGATAGTGTTACATGACTGGTTAGTTAAATCAGTCAAACAGAAATAGCAAATGAACTAAAACAGATAAATGAAATTGGCTCACGAATACGTAGTACAACTAAAGAATGTAAGGAATAATTTTCTAGCTCTTTAGTCATACAGAGGAAATATGAGAATAATATTAAGGACTGACGAGAATTGGTTTATGAATTTAAAATTATCATCATATTGTTAAATGTCTAAGTATCAAACTATTGATATGGCATGTTCTTCCTTTGGTTTCAAAAGCTACATAGTGTACGAAAATTCATTTTGGGAATCATTTCATTTAACGATTTATCAAAAGCACTTCAATTTCATCATTTAACACCTAATTTAAAAGCTTTTTCTTGTAAATTATATACCAAATTCTTGTAAATGTAATCACGAGTGATGATATGTTATTTCATCCAAACACTTGATTTTTTTTGGGGGGGGGAGGGTCATTTTTCTTTCTGGTAATTTCAAGAAAACACTGAATAATCTTTTTTAATTCACCTTGTAATTTATGATGAAATGATCAAAATTGTTACTTTTACTTCAAATAGATATCATCAGGAATTATTTAATTTTCTGTTTAGTTTATGGTATTGGATTGTATAATCCTGGATCTTATTTCAAACGAATCTGTTGAAATACACAAAATGCTTTCGGTAAAACATTCATAGTACGAAACTTGAGATTTGTAAATTAGCCTACATATCCTAATTGATCTGTTCATAATGACATAATTAGTACATATATATGCTTCACTTACGAGTGTTGCTATTATCAGTTTATAAACAATTTACCCGATGAAAATCTACATGAAATAGTTAATAGAAATATAGATAAACAACACTAAGTAGACCTGACAAAATTGGTTATCAAAATTCGCCAGTGGGTTCATTAAAGATTTTAGTCCACTATTGGAAACCTGGAAGCACTGGTTGGCCGTTTCGTCCTATCATGGGACTCCTCAGGAGTGCTTCCAAGTTTTCAGTGGTGGTCTAACATCAATCGGTTCATGATCTCAGTCTAAGGCGTAATAATCTCCACAACCCATATACTTACCATTTAAGGTGAGTATTTAAGCAAATCATATGCCTTAGTATCGAACAGGGAGTATTACTTTCGAATTCTCAAAATATGGATCATTTATTTCTCAGAACGTTTATTGATTTGGTTTGTAAATATTGTTATTGTTATGTTTAAGAATGGTCAAAAAGCAGTGAAAAATTCTACTCATAAGTTGACTACTCGATAATAAGCAGTAGTATTTTCACAGTTAAAATCATTAACTGATCTTAGTTAGACAACCGTTAAAAACTTCGAAACACTGGGTGGCCGTTTCGTCCTGGCATGGGACTCAATAGGTGTGTGCATCCACGACCTCACATACAGGAATCAAACGCTGGCGCTTCACCTCGGAATCAATTAGTCGTTATCCAATAGTTTCAAAGTCTAACTATGAACAATCTGTGATCTTGCTCAGCCCATCATCCACTGCCTATGATGGATAACTGTCTCATACTCGATACAGATTAAACTCCGTTGGTGACGGCTTCTTATTAGAACTTCAGGAGTTAGGTCTTAAAACTAGCAACTAGTGAACACATGGTTATTGTTGGTATGGAAGATTTGTGCTTCCAGTGTTTCGAGGTTTTCAATGGTTGTCTAGATAAGATCAGTTCGTGATTTCAACTGTGAAAATAATACAATCTCCACAAATCTCCCATACTAATAATCAATAGTGTTATGTTATTGCTTCAATTATTAAAAGATAGTCTAATGATTATGTATTGACAAAAGGTTGGACACTAGTGATTGTACAAATATTAAGCTCTTTGGATGTCACGTACTCAAATAATACACATTTTGTTCGCACAAAATTCAAAGTTTTTTGTATTTCCACTCACAACAGTAAATTTGTAGTAATTATTCTACTTGATGGTGACTTTCTGTCTTTTAAAAGTGATTAGGCAACCGCAATGTTAAATAAATGTTGAATGTAAATAATGCTTTCTCGGTTACTTGTAATCACAGACAAACTGTTTCACATAATACACAGAGGTCACACTGCCAAATAACTAACATTTTCGGGAACTCAGATCCAGTGAATGTTAGAAATGAAACTAAAAATCCACAATGACAATCACATCCCAGTTTAAATAAGCTTTATTGTCTCAAACAGCTTATTTTTCTTAAAGTACTAAGGAGGACTAAGAAGTTACCTGATTCGGCCTTACTGGCTAGAATGCTAGATCTTTGTACCGTGTGTGGGGATCGATAGCCCAGTCCAGTTCCAGCTGGTCCGGATATTGTCGATCTAATGGCACTTGATGCTCGATGACTGGATTGATCGTATCGATGTTTAAGATGATGATGATGATGTTGTTGTTGTTGGGGGTGAAATCCAGTTGGGTGTTGATCTTCTGGCACTGGAGGGTTTGAAGAATAGGGTGAAGTCCAAGATTCTGCAGGGTTAAATTTATACGACTTTGAACGGTCATCTGGCCAGATTTCTAAAATAAATTTAAATATTTCGGCCATTTTTCTAGGTTCCAAGATATTTGGATCAAGATTCCTTGCAGAACTTGGTGAAGGATAGAATAGGATAGGAGCAAGACAAGTTGCTAGATTTTGTGTATCCATTTTATTCACTTCACAATTATTTGTCAATCGTTTAAAATGATCCAAGAGATACAAAAGGATTTCCTTGAATTAAGAAAATAAATACATATAAAATAGTTTGATAGCAATAAGTCTGAAGTTATTAAGACAACCAAAACAGAGTGATTCACTAAAGAGCGAAGAATGTTTATGCATTTAAATACCGATCGTCAAATAATGTGTTGACGTTTGTAGATTGGCTATGCATAAAGTCAACAAACACGTAGTTAGTAACTTATGATAGGTTGCTTTGTTTCTAAAAATTAAGTGGATTGCGCCAACTACATATATATATATATATATATATATATATATATTTACATGAATGTAAAAAATAAATCGATTGAATCTCACTGTAATTCATCACAATCCATTAACTGACATCAGCTAGTAATGAAAATCATTTCTGAATTGCACAATATCTTCAACTATTCAATAAGGTAAAATTATTCTTTGAAATAGTGTTTAAATCTCATTTTGATAAATAATTTTCTAGAAATCATTATATCGACAGTAGTCGAAGGTTAAGTTGTTTATTACCAGTATTCCATTTAGGTTTCATTTTGAATATTGCATAACGCGTTGTGATGACTTTTAATTAAAGTTTAAGCACAAACCACTGACAACAGTAAGAAAAAAACACCTAGTTAGATTATATTCGCATCTTAATGGAAATTCGTAAATAGAACTGAATTCCATAAAATTTGTATTCAGGAAAATAAAAGTACGTTATTGACCCATATTATGGGTGCTCAAAATCATTGGTACACTTTACCTTAATTTAAAATTTGTAGTATACACCGAACAATCAAATTATTGTCAATTTAATAGTCGAATTCATGAGACAATTAAAGCTAGATCACTATAGAAAACTTGAAAGCACTGGACGGCCGTTTTGTCCTAGTATGGGGCTCTTCAACAGTGCACAACCACGATCCTGCCTCATGGATTCGAACCCAGAACCAATTGGTATAACTAAGATAATAATTGCATTTTGTCTGAAAATTATTGACTAGAATTGTTTGTTTTACTTAGATAAATTACATAAAGATATAATGATTTATTTAATATTTGTCTAGTCGATTCTTTTACCGAACGAATTATATTGTCACTCCGGATAAATATTACTCATAATGGAATACCGAATTGAAAAGTAAAACAAAGGTTCTACTATTCATGTTAGGAAAAATCAAATATATTTCAAATAATAATCAACAAATTATTAAACATAAATAAGAACAATCGTCTAAATTTAATCGAATAGTTTCACAGTATTTGAGAGCCGAGTTGATGTGAGGCATTAAAGAGGAAGAATATATTTGTAAAATTTAAGCCAAAGAATTTGAAGTAAATTCAACTTTCGCCTGGTAATCTGGTTCAAGCTTTTCCAAAGAAATATAATCAAACAGAAGTTTTCAAATACATTCTTTCTCTTTAAAATTATTAAACAGTTTATCTGGGTACTTTATGAGAAAAAAATGATGTTTGAGAGGTTCGATTTCATGTAAATAAAGGATACGACCCGCGTAATTGTAGTAAATGACATAAAAATTGACAGAGAATGCCTTATTTATTGTCTAATTATTTATAAATTGTCATTTATAGATATATGAATGTTGTTTTGCAAATACCTGAGGTTACGTTTTTTTTTGTTGTTGAGAAGTTCGGAAGTTATAGATTAATCAAAAGTCATTGATATTGGTAAATCACTATAGTTGAAAAATCATAGTTTCAAAATTATCCTGCTGAAGTTGTGGATTTATGAAATAATTGATCCTATCTTAATTGTCTGATAGTAAATTCTATATTTACTTAAATTTGAATGTTATTAAATTTTGCACAAGCTTTAGGTAGTTTTGATAGTTTAATAAATAGGCTCGTTTATTTTGATAATTATCTTCATAGTAAGTCGCCCCTTACATCTAAGACAATAGAAGCATTTTATTGCATTGATGCCATAGTGTTACAATTGTATACTTCTAAGAGTAAGATGAAAATCAATAATTATATTTATTTTTCAAGTGATTTTAGGGATAAAAAGCACTGTTTATGTAAATCTATTAAGGTATCTTATTAGAATAATTATGCAGCTGTGTAAATATTTATGTATAAAACCACATATTTTAATCAATGTACACTGTATAGAACAATAATTTAATATATTATTTAAAGTATCCAGCATTACCACGACTACCATAGTTAGTAAATGTAATGTCGTGCAACTAAGGGTGTTACTGCTAACTTACGTACGTAGATGAGATCTCTCAAACATGCTCTCAAATTTATCATGATAATTATGATGATAGTGATAATGTATGCAGTAATGTCTTTATACATGAGTTATAATCGTAAGCGTGACGATAGAATGATATTTCTTGTAGGTTTTCTCTTTCATTATTATCGTTGTTCCCTATTTTAGAAAGAAATAACTGGGAATGTTTTAAATTATTTTGATTATGTACATGTGCGTGTTTAAGGAAAAGCATAATTTGTATTTATTTCCCTACCTCTCTCATACTCTCCTATTTGATATACAGCTTCAAGTTATTATGTCGATTTCGGTCCAACAAAACCTATATTGGTTACATTATGAGTATACACGTAGTATTTGTTGACATTTGGTAAAAAAAGAGGTGTATGATAATTTATTGTTGAGAATCTTACTAAGACTGATATTTTAAAAAATCAATCCATCTGTAGTATCTCAAGCAGTTTGAACTTAACGTTTTATCATTTTTGTAAGATGTCACTAAATAATTAATCGTCTGCGGAAAGAAACTTTATTAATGTTGCCTACTCGATCAGTTGTAATCTAGAGGTCATCAGCTAGGAAAAACTATTGTGACTTAACAGTCTCCCTTTTCGTCCGGTTTATTTTAAAGATTTAAATTTGGCTATTTATTTTTCGTAACTAGGGGTAGTCATGAGTTTACTAACGGTTCATTCTAATTATCGGATTACCATGTTTAAACGTTTTATATCCGTGAAAAGTTCTCATTTACAGATTAAATCTGCCACATTTCCCTTGGGGTAAATTTAAATTGATACATACAAAAATATGATTCTCTGCAGGAGGTTGTAAATTTTGATACCGTGAACGGCTTCGTGATAGCGGAAACAATGAATAATATACTGTTCACTACCATAAATTCAATAAGAGTGTAAACTTTAGTCATTTATTCCAGATATTTGATAACAAAATCTAGTTTTTACAGAGCCAAAATATTTCTATAAGGTTGAAGGGTAAGACAGTGAAGCTAAGTTGCATTATGAATCTTCTTTTCTTTTTGGCTCTCTAAACCAATAAACATTTTGATTACTAGTCAACCTTTTTTATTGGATATCGGCCTGTTTTTATACTTTATGAAAGCTACCTCATTGTAATACAGTATGACAAGATTCTCCTTGTGTTCCAGCAAGTATAGAACAAGATTCATGATTCATTTTTCAGCGTTATGTAGACCAATGTGTTAAGATGGCTAGAGAGATATCCTCTGAAATTTCCTATGCATATCTTTAATGTATGTTCCTAAACAGTTGAGTCATGGTATTAATTTATCCCTATAATTGTAAGTTTTAATTTAACTCACCAATTACCTGTATATTGTTTTGCTGTTCATAAACCACTGTTAATAATCATAAATATACTTCGTTTTATAACATATGTTTCTTGGTTTAGTACATATCAGGATTCATTATTTATGGTCCATCATGGTCTTACATTTTTTATGCATAATCATAAGGATTTTGAAGCCTGACTTTTGATATCTTATTATATTTCTGATGTAATTGATTGTCAGGCAATATTCTTGTATACATATCAGTTAAGGAGATTTATCTTACAACCTATCACAGATTATAATAGTTTTTGTCTTTATGACACATTAACAAATAGACTGTTGAAAAAATATTTACTGGTGTGATTTTTGGGAGTTAATTCCATTCGGCTACAAGTTATAGATATTGATTTCCTAAAGTTACAACGAAAAACTGTGGCTAGTGAAGTCAACTAAGATGAAAGGGCATCAGTAGATCACAAATATCGCAGTTTAATATAATTTAAGTCAAAAGTTGAAGTATCAGAGGTCGTTTCCATGGAATAATTGTAGAGTGGTACACTTAAAATATTGAGCTTAAAGATGTAGACCAGTGGATACTGACAATATCTAAATAGCACCTGGTGACGGTATAGTCTGGAGGTCATAAATTCAGTATTGTGCAAGATTATGGGTGCACATTCGTGAAGAGTATCAAACAAGAACTAAACTACTATTCATTATTTCAGATTTCTTCATGGTTCACAAAATTATCAGTCAATGATGAAAAGATTTTGTATCAGTATGTTAATTCATTATATTTGTTCCTATTACTTTTTATTGGTTTGCCTTGTAACCCTAAAATTTTTAATTTTTAGGTTACATAATTTGTACGTAAATGGTTGATCTATAACTTTTCATTCTAGATTGATAGTGGATAGAGAAACCACTGAAAACAATCTTTTCTGTATTCGGAAGAAAGCAACCGCTGACTCTATATGACTAAATTATGGAACAGGCGATTATATTACTATTAAATGTAATTTCAATAGATTCATAATAAATGACGATAGTTACATTATTGTATAGGGATGTTTCCAACCATTTCATATAAACTTTTTAGGAAATAACCATACTTGTTATGTATGTTAATTAATTTGGTTAATAGAAACTAAATCATTTAGTAATTGACAGAAACTAGTTTGACATCAATATGTTAAAATCGATTAAAGATGATTTCATATTCCCAATACTTATTTAACTTTATGAATAAATTATAAATCTTACAGAGATCTTATTGTTTATTTAGATATGTTGCTAAGTAACAGAACGATTACTTTTAATATTTCAAATCAGGAATAAATCTGTATATGATTTCATCTTCCTGAATGTTTAATTAGGTTGTGATAAATTATGATTATAACAAATAACTACCGTTATCAATTCTGTCATACATATTTATGTCTCCATGACTGCTTTTTTCGTGCTAATTTTAATCTGTAAACGAAA